GTGTGTTTGTGTGAGTGTGTGTGTGTGTGTGTTTGTGTGAGTGTGTGTGTGTTTGTGTGTGTTTGTGTGTGTCAGCATGCAGCATTTGTGCTCCAAACATGAATGATTCTTCAAATCATGGCTTGTTGAGGAGAGTTTTTTATTTATTTAAATTGTATTAAATTTTATTTAATTCTTTTATATCATTCTTTTATTTTATAATTATACAATCATTTTATATATTGCTGTATTTCACAATTCTATAATATCATTATTTTATATTATTACTTTAATTATCCTATAATATATAACTATTATATGTATTATTTCATTTTATATAATTATTCTATAATTGTATAATTATTTTTATATAATAAAGGATTTTATATATTATTGTATTACTTTATTAGTTAACATTCATTTAACATTTGTGCTCCAAATATGAATGATTCCTCAAATCATGTGTTTTTGAGGAGAGATTTTTATTTTATTTTATTATTTCATTTAATTTTCATTCTATAATTCTATAATTATTTTATATATTATTATAAAATTATATTTTATTACTTTAATTATTCTATAATTATATAAGTGTTTTATTGTGTCATTCTATATTTATATAACTATTCTATATATTATTTAATTATTTTATATTATTATACTATAATTCTATAATTGTCTACTTTTTTGTTTTATTGTAGTTATTGTATTTTATTGTAATTATATTATTTTTATTATTTTATTTTAATATTTAATAATTTTATATTATTTGATTAGTTTATTATTTTAATATTTTATTTATTTATTATTAGCACTGTTAATATTATTAATTATTCTGTAATTTTTTTTTTATTATTTTGGATGTTGTTTTATTTTATAATAAAAATATTTAAATATTTTATTGAATCATTCTGTAATTACATATATATATATATATATATTTAGATGTATTTTCTAGCTGGATCATGTCTGTGCTGTGTTGTGTCCAGGGAGGTGGTTCTTCTGGGGATGCTCTGTGACGCTGTGGCTCAGGGGCTCATCCAGCCGTGGTGTGGGATGTCTGTTCGTGCCGATCAGGAGTCGCAGGACGCTGGGAAGGGAGGCGAAAAGATGCTGCCAGCCGAGAAGACAAAGAAAGTGCGAGGGAAGAGTGTGGAGAAATCCGGCTCGACCCAGGGCCCTCAGCTGGACGCGGCTGCCATGCAGGACGTTAAGAAAGCTTTAGAGGTGAGCGACTGTTGCTCAGTAAACACAAACACTGCTTATCTACAGACACACACGCACACGGGCGCTCACCTGGGAACGACACCTGTGCAAAGCATTGTGGGTGATCTCAAACCGTAATTAGGCTCTGTGAATAAACTGATGAGGGGCTCAGAGGGTTGAATTTAAAACAAGCAAAGCACTGAATATGAATTAAATTAGAGTTTAAATTAGCTTGGAGTAAATGCAATTTTGCTCTGGATTACAAACATTTTTCCTGTCACTATTTGTTTGCATTTATTGCATGTTAATTCATCTTGACAAATTATACATGCAGGAGATCTACTATCACGTTTTCAAAAGTTAAAAAAGCATGCACAGAATGGTAACAAAACAAAGCAAAAAAACTCATGTAAACTTTTTGCATATATTTGATTTTTTTTAATAATCATATTTTTCAAATGCATTTATTCAAATGGCTTAGAATCAGCATAAATCTGCTCATTGTGATAGTAATTAAATGTATTAAAAATGAAAATAGTTAATATATGACTAGCTTTGGAACAAGCAATAATAAAGTATGTTTTTATGTATTAATGTATAATTATATAACAATTATAAATATTATTGTAGAATTTATAAATGGATTAAAATCAGCATAAATCGGCTCATTGTGAAAACAACTGAATATTTTAAAAATGAACATAATTAAAATATGACTAGCTTTGGACCAAGCAGTAATCAAGTAGTTAAATGTATGAAATTGAAACAAATTTGATTTATTGATGATAAATATATAAAGCTGGTTAAATATATAAAGTACTATTACAGAAAACTGACATGTTTCATTAATGTATGACTGACAAATACAGTATGCATCACATTAAGTCTATTAGTTTGTTAAAACTGTGTGATCCAAATGCATGGAAATTTTATGTGCAATTCAAACGCATAAATCTTAAATTTAGGCATTAGAGCCATGAGAGTGTGTTTCTGATCTAAGTGAACACATTTGATGAAAAGAGACCCATAAAAATCTGATTCAGGCCCTAAATACACTGTTAAACACCTCATGCATTCTGCTGCTTCCCTTCTTCACATTCTCTCTGATTAAATTTCATTCTGCTGCCTTTTGTGCAGATTTACAGGCCCTTCGCTGCACATATCAGCGCTAATTCCACATGAAAGCCTTTTTAATAGGGAAAAGATTTACTAACGACTTTCCTAACGCTGCTCTTTTCACACTCGACAAGAGAAGGTTTGAAGCACTTGCCGAGCAGCACACAGGCAGACTGGAGATTTTTACCTAAAGCTGAAGTTAAGAGCAGAAAGTTTGAGGCCCGATGATGTTTGGACATCTGCGTTCTGCTGATACCTGACCGTGTGTGTGTGTGTGTGAGCGTGTGTGAGTGTGCAGTTACTTCTGAAGAGGAATCGCTTCTAGTCAGCTAAACCAAACTGGACTGAAAATGATTATGAATAAAGCAAGCATACGTCTGATGAACTAAAATGATGACATAAATGTTATGTGTGTGTGTGTGTGTGCGTGTGTGTGAGTGTGAGTGTGAGTGAGTGTGTGTGTGAGTGTGAGTGTGAGTGTGAGTGAGTGTGTGTGTGCTTGACTCCCCACAAGGATAGTAAAACTTGAAATTTTTGACATTCGAGAGAAACAAATGATTAAAAATAGTAAATGATGTTTATCTGAAAGTGTAAGAATTCAAATAGGTTTTCTGTAAGGGGTAGGTTTAGGGTTAGGGGATAGAAAATATCGTTTGGTCAGTATAAAAGTAATAGAAGTCTATGGAAAGTCCCCACAATTCACAGAAACAAACGTGTGTGTGTGTGTGTGTGTGTGTTGCAGGTGTGTGAGTTTGCGCTGCGTCTGTCCAGTGGAAACGCCGAGCCGCTGCCCATCTCTGTGAGAAAGCAGCTCTGCAGCACGTGGGTCTGCGTTAAACAGCTGCTTCAGCAGCAGATCGGACACAAACTGGACATCAACGATGAGGTGACGCCAACAACAGAACAAACACACTGCGTTTGGATCATCAGATGGCCGATTTTACCTAGAATAAGATCAGTGTTGGGAAGGTTACTCTGGAAATGTAATAGGTTACAAATTACAAGTTACTCTATTTAAGTAGTGTTTCAATTACTTTATTAATGTAACTGATGACATTTGATTACTTTTCTAAGTTTCTACTGAATGTTTTCAACTGTTAATCATTTTGAAGCATGTAAAGCAAGCAGGGTTAACATTACAGTTGCACTCAACACTGATTACTGTCAGACTTTCAAAATCCTTCATCGCTTGAATTAAGATTATACACCACAAAATCAGACTTTTAACACCTCCTTTTTACTTTAACATTGTTCTGAGGTTAAATACAGATTTAGAATCATAACAAGAAACCGTTTAATAGCTCTGATATTGTTTTTGAAATCAAATCTTTGCATAGCTATGACAGGAAACACTTGCATCTAACAATGCTTTGGAAAAAAACAGTTAATCTTAAAAAATAAAGCATATACATAAACCCAAAAAATAAATGAAACGGTTATTGAATAAACACATGTCCTATTCTGTGTCCTAAACTCCTGAAACACTGGTGTCTCATATTTTAGAGCAGTCAATGCAGTTTATGAAAGAAATCAATCAAATCTGTATGTGTGTGAAAATATTCAGATGTAACCCCCTTTGTAATCGTTAACATTTTCATAAGTAACTAATTTAATTCCAAATTTTTTTCTCAGTAACTGTAACAGATTACAGTTACATTTATTTTGTATTTACATAATTCCATTACATGTAACTAGTTACTCCCCAACACTAAATAAGATGCAAAATTGACCCGATTTTAATCAAAAGTCTGGCTGTGGAGGCTTAACCCTGTAAAGCCTGCCATATGAAATAATAGTCAGAAAATCTATTTATTTTTACTGAAAAAGAAATTCTAAAAGAAAAATGTTTGCACGTTTTGTTGAGTATCATATTTGATGCATCAGGCTTTTATGGCTCATATAGTCTGATATAGTGAGAATATGGAAGAAAAACAGCTCAATTTTATAAAACAAATATGAATTTGCTGCAGATGCTGATATTTCTATGATGACATTCTGCTGCTTATAATGTAAATCAATGAGATGTTTATAACAGTGCAGCAGATACTGTCATAAAATGATCTAAATATCAGTCATCGCTCTATATCTACAATAATATGTCTAAAAATAAGATGAGATTGAAGAGCCTGTGTATATGAATATGAATATATGAACATATGAATCAGTAGCTTTATGGGGTTAATATTCCTCGTTTCATGTCTGTACCTGCTTTATTGTGTGTGTGTCAGAGTAAGAACGAGGCGGTGACAGCCATGTCCCGTGTGCTGGTCGCAGTAGAGATGCTTCAGTGTAACAGGAGCTCCAGACTGATGCAGTTCACCGTTCCCAGTCTGTCTGTGGTGAGAGCTGCTCAATATCATCATAACCTGTTAAAACTGCTTTCAGCAAAATACAGTAAAAATTGTGAAATATTATTAGAATGTAAAACAGCTGTTTTCCATGTGAATATCTGTTAAACTGTAATTTATTCCTGTGATCAAAGCTGAATTTTCAGCATCATTACTCCAGTCTTCAGTGTCACATGATCTTCAGAAATCATGTATCATGAAAACTGTGATTACCATTTAAAAGTTTGGGGTAAGCAAAAAGAAAAACCTTTGAAATGAATGCTTTTATTCATCAAGGACGCATTAAATTGATCAAAAGTGTCAGCAACGACATTTATAATGTTACAAAATATTTATATTTCAAATAAATGCCGTTCTTTTGAACTTTCTATTCATCTGTGATAAACTGATAAAATGTATCAGTTTCCACACAAATATGAAGCAGTGCAACTGTTTTCAACATTGATAATACAATGTTGAATGTGTTTGCAATTCTCTCTGTTGTTGCAGAAAGCGAGACTTATATATACACATACATAAATGAAGTGATTCCTGACATGTATCAGAGAGACTTAAGTGTCCAGCTCCCTGTAAATCAGGCTGAAAGCCGCTGTCAGGATCAGTTGATCAGCTGTAGAGTGTGATATACAGTATATATATATATCAGTAAGATCAGCGTGTCTCTTCTTCAGCTGGTTCAGATGGCGTTGGGCTGTCAGTGGTCTGATCCGGTCGTGGAGCTGTGTGTGTGGACACAGCTCGCTCTGTTCACCCATCAGACACAAGACCACAGCCTTGTCCTCACCTGCACCCATAATGCACTGCAGCTGGAGCAGAACGCAGCACAAAGAGTGAAGACGGCCGCTTATGCTCTGTGAGTGCCACTGATGTATGTGACCCTGGAGCACAAAACCAGTCATAAGGATCAATTTTTTGAAATTGAGATTTATACATTATACATTTATACACAAATAATCTTTCCATTGATGTATGGTTTGTTAGGATAGGACAATATTTGGCCGAGATACAACTATTTGAAAATCTGGAATCTGAGGGTGCAAAAAAATCAAAATATTGAGAAAATCATCTTTAAAGTTGTTCAAATGAAGTTCTTAGCAATGCATATTACTAATCAAAAATTAAGTTTTTATATATTTACGGTAGGAAATTTACAAAATATCTTCATGGAGCATGATCTTTACTTAATATCCTAATGATTTTTGGCATAAAAGAAAAATGTATAATTTTGACCCATACAATGTATTGTTGGCTATTGCTACAAATATACCCCAGCGACTTAAGACTGCTTTTGTGCTCCAGGGTCACAGCACTGCCTACAATTAGACTAACAAACTAGATTCCTTGTCATGTTTGCTGTATGAAATACAATAGTTGTTTCTAACTAACTTTGAGGTGCTGATTCCAAAAATAGTAGTTGTGTTGCTCATTCATGTCAAACTTTTGCATTCAAATATGATGCATTTCATAGCATTTTTGCTTTTGACAACCATTTGCGTGGTGAATTAGTCTTGTATTCTCCCAGGTTCAGCGTGCGTTCGGTGCAGGAGATGTTGAGCAGCGCTGCGTGTGTCAGAGGTCAGAGTCTGATCCAGGAGGCCAGAGCTCATCACAGCAGATATATGGAGGGTCTGCTCAAGCTGCAGCACAGCGTCAGGTCTGAACACCACTGCACGACTCAAACAGATTATTCTACATATTTCAGAGTTTATCAGCTTCATGTTGAAGTCATACCGTTTGTGTGTGCTGTATAACAGGTCTGAACAGGGTTTGGGGTTGTTTTGCACACAATTTGAAATGTTTGTGGGTAAAAGCACACCCTGGTATGAATAAAAAACAATAAACAACTAAACAATTAAACCATTACATTTGCATACTTTGTGCTCAAACATAAAATAACATTCAAAAAGTAAAAAAAAAAAAAAAGTTGTAATTACTGTGTACAGTGTATTCACAATTTGTGAAATTGGGGGAAAAAAATAAAAAAATATTTTTTTGTTTTTCCTCATATTTATTTTTTATTTTTTTATTTGTGTAATGTGTATTTGTTGTTTTGATCTTTTTGCTATTGGTTACTATTTACTGTTTTTAGTATCTTTAGTATATTTTAAACTATTTACTATTTTTATTGATTGATTGATTGATTGAGTTAGGGTTGTCTTCCAAAAATCCTAACAATTATTAATTATAATAATACTATATGGAGCCCATAACAATTAAAAAAAATACATACAAAAATATATTGTCCCCATTTTTGAATTCATGGATAATAAGCGAGATTTCAGTGATATTTTGAATAATAATTTTTGCAGAAAGCACATTCTTTGTACCCAAAATTAGCCTAAAATGCAAAATAATTAGGGATAGTAAAGATCCATTTCCAAAAGCACAAATATTAAATAACATTTGAAAAATTTAAAAAAACAAACAAACTTGTAATTACTGTATATAGTGTATTCACAGTTTGTCAAAATTTTAAATATCGAATATAATTGGAAAGTGGTTAAAATTTTTTTATTTTTTTTTAAATACAGTTTTTGTTTATCATATGTTTTCATTTTTTTTGTTTTTGTGAAATCATAATTTTATAAAAATATAATACTGTTTTGATCTGTTTGCGATTGGTTAATTTCTACTATTTTATATTAAACCCAGATAGGGTTCTTCTACAAAAAAATAAATAAATAATAATAATAATATATGGAACCTGCAACAATTTTAAAAAATGTAATTCGTAAATAACAAGAAGTGAGATTTCAATGATATTTTGACTACTAAACTCACTAAACTACAAAAAGTCCCAAGTTTCTGTTTCAGAAATCTGCTCAGTTTAATGCTGAATGTGCTTCTGAGCTGTCCTGGTCTGATCTGTGGCTGATGTTGTGTGTGTGTTGTAGTTTTGCACAGCAGGCGGGCAGCTGGAGTCTGTGTATGAGCGCAGCCGCTCACTTCTGGAGCGCATGTCTGCCTCTGCTGGACTCGAGACGGGACAGACGTCAGCTGAGAGGAGCGCTGGAGCTCATCCTGAAGACCATCAGCCAAACATACAGCAAACACACAGCCGTAAGACACCACCAGCACACACACACCATCACCTCACCTTAATACTATTACAAACGGATGAATGTGATGCTGTCAGAAACCTGTTTCATATGTCCAGTATATAAATATGCTTTATATTCATGTGTTCAGGGCAAAACTAAAAGAGCGTCTGTACTCAAGCGTGACGGACCAGATACAACAAGTGAGAATTATTTGGCTTTTACTCAATGAAGCATTTCTGTGATGTATGTGCTTTATGTATGTCTTTTATAAAGTGGTTTATGATCATATACTATAGCTTATGCATGCATTGTTAGTATATTATATTTAACCATAACATTTTACACTGCAAAAAATTATTTTCTAATTTTGTATTTTTTGTCTTGTTTCCAGTATAACTATCTAAACATCCTTAAATCAAGATACATTTCATTGGGAAGCGAAATTACTTATTTTAATTATTTTTCTGATCCCATTGGCAGATATTTTGTCTTGTTTTAAGCATAAACTCGCTTGATTTTGATACATTTCCCAAAAAAGCAAGACTTAATGTTTTATGTCACATTTTGCTTTCTTGATTTAAGGATATTTCGATATTTTTACTGGGGAAAAGACTATAATGCTGAGGATGAAAATCATTTCTTGCGGTGTAGTAATGAGTTCCAGAAGCTTTAAAGGGATAGTTCACCCAAAATGAAAATCCACTCATCATTTACTCACCCTCATGTTGTTCCAAACCAATAAGCCTTTGGTTAATCTTCAAAACACAAATGTAGATACTTTTAATGAAATCTGAGAGGTTTCTGTCCCTCCATTGAAAGTCCAGATATCCGTTCACAAGAATTAAACCGCTCGATTCATATACGTTCATTTTTATGACACCTTTATGAACTTATTGGGTCTTTAAAGTTTTGGTTACCCAGACTTTCAGTGGAAAGACAGAAACCTGTCAGATTTCAGTCATTTGTTTTAAAAATAAACCAAAGTCTTGTGGGTTGAAATGACATGAGGGTGAGTAAATTATGACAGAATGATTTTTTAGGTGAGCTATCCATTTAATTCTTCTAAAAATTATTTTATGCTTTATGAGTTAAAATATATTTTTTTTAAATCATTGGTTACACCTTAAGAGTATATATGTGAGTGTGTGTGTGAGTGTGAGTGTGTGAGTGTGTGTGTGTGAGTGAGTGAGCGTGTGTGCGTGTATAATATATTTACCAATATATTTTTTATATATTTTGAAGATATATTTGAAAAATATAAATATATATATTTTTATAACGCATTTAAAATATATTTTGACATTCATATATTTCAATCCAAATTAAATAAATAAATAAGCTAGAAACATACTTTATACTGTAAAAAAAATGCTATATATATATTTTTTAAAGCATTATAAATCTGTTTTTGATTTCTGGTAAGCTATTCCATCCACATTTGCATTTAGTCTAAATGTAGGCTGCTGTAAGATTGGAAATGCATATTCTTCCCATTAAATACTTTTTGAAGTATATTTTGTTGTGTGAAATAAAAACTAAATATACTTTAATTTCAAAAATGTATTTCATTGAGCTTCACTGTTTACAACATATATTTAAAATATATTTTAGCCATTATTTGCCAGAAGAATCTGCTTTCCTGAAAAGAAATGATGTGTAAATAATCCTGCAGGGATTGAGTTGCTGATTGTTTTGCTCACATAAGGTTTTATGGCATTCGATTGTATGAATATATCTGGCTGTGAGGGTTGGTTCTGGCATGTTTTCTAGACGCTGGCATCGCTGATGATGACCTGAAGGTGTGGACGGCTGTGATCAGCGCTCTGCTCCATATTCATGCGGACGCTGGAGACTGGAGGAGAGGCCTGCAGCTGCTGGATGAGGCCCTCAGAGAGATGCCACACACCGAACACAGACTGTGAGGCCTTCCCTGCAACACACACCGCTCTAAAAACTGACCTTTTTCATCTGCAGTGCTTCATGGGTCACTGAATGCTAGAAAAACTAGAGCCGAAGGTGATAGAAACCACGCAGAACAGAGCCGTACTGAAATCTGCTCTTGATTTAGTCTAGATCTAGTGTGTGTGTGTGTCTAAACTATCATAGATAAACCATATGATGGCTTATCAGTTCCCAAATAATGGGTTTATCAGTGAATGCAATTACAGCACAAATGCAATGAGTAACACAGCAAGTGATTCATCATAAGAAGACATGTTTACATGAGAAGTGCTAGCTATATAAAGTTTCTTGAATAGGGAAATATTGTTTAAAAGGAAACTGTGGCATTCACATGTAAGGGAACTTATTTAATGTACAGTTTTGCAAATGCATGGTTTTATATAGTCTAGATCAAAGATGAACCCACATAGTGGGAAAAATAGAGTTGCATGAATTAATGAAAGAGCCTTTCCAGGTTAATTTGCGCACTAATCAATCATTTGGTTACAAATAATTCTTTAGTTGATGTTTTATTGACACCTGCTGGTTGTTCTTGTGCACTGCATGTTTTCATTTTGTGATCAGTAGGAAGTGAGTTACACAAAGAAACGTGTGGGTCGCATTTCACCCCAAAAACCACAGAAAAGAAAAACTAAAATAAGTTATATTTCTTATAATTATTGATTAGTAATTAGCAGTTTGACATTATTTTCATGACAAATAAGCACATTTTCCCCAAAACTACTTCAATAATGGTCATTTCTGAACTCAATCATTATTATATTCTAATATTAATAATATAATTCTTGATTTTGAAATTGAAGTGCTTTTGGGTGAAATGTGCTTGATGTAAATAATGTAAATGTAATAAATGTTAAAAATTGGCATAAATTTAATTCGGCACAAAAACAGTATTGTAATCTATAAAAGTCATTGCATTTTATATTCCTGTACACTAATGAGAATTTGGAGCAAAACATGCTTAATTTTCCTGATTATTTGAAACATGATTTATTCATTTTTATTTTTTTTGCATGCTAGTGTAATTCTCAGTTGCTCAAAAGTCATCATGCAGTGATAAAGCCCATCTGATGGTGCGGTGTGTTCTCTGTGTGTGTGCTCCAGGGCTCTGCTGAAGCAGCGTGTTCTGGTCAAGGCCCGGCTGGGCGAGTCGCTTCTGCTGGACATGCAGTGGTTCACTAACGAGGGAGAGACGGTCTGTGCTCAGATGTGGCAGCGTGCAGCTCTCTGTGCCAAAGACAAACCTCAGCGGCTCAGCTGCTATCAGAACGCCATCACAGCTCTGCAGGTCAAAGCAGCACTGAACTCTTGAACTCTTTAAAGCTTGAGCTCATCTAGATGTCATGTCAACAGTTAATGCACATTATGTGTTGAAATGCATGTCTGTGACTGTATGTGGTTTTGTGGCGACACCTGCTGGTCTTACACATGTACTGCAGGTTTTCATAGGTGGTTGGTAAAGGAAAAGAATATATTAGGGATGTATTATTTGCATTTTGACATTTTTGTCAAAAAAGAAAATTGACAGTTAAACACATCTCCCCCAAAACTACTTCAATACAAAATCAAGAATTGTCATTTCTGGATACAACGATTATGTATTATAAAAAATAAAAAAAGTTGCAAATTGAATTCAGTGAAAACTAAAAACACTACTGTAATCTATACTTAAAATGTTACTTCACAAATGTCTTTTATAGTTTTAATAATATATCTTTTGAGAATCTTGGGCAAAATAATTATTAGCATTTTTCAAGAATGTACAGTCAAACCAAAAATTATATAATTTTTGATATTTTTTTACTAGTGGGTGCAGGACACTATAGTTCATAAATGTAAGTGAGGATAGCAGAATAAAGTAAACTGTGACATATTGCACCCAAAAATTCTTCATACCAGTAAAACTGATCTAAAAAAAAAAAAATTGGGACCAAAAATTTGACCTTTCTATCAAAGTTATCTGACATTATCCAGATGAATTTGTTCTGACACAGTTCTTGTCATATTTTATTAACGTTTTCTAAACTATAGCGAATAAACTGTGATATAATATGTGAGAAATGTTGAAGGTATTTGAATAATTTTTGGTTTGACTGTAAGTCTTTAGATCAAATGTTTTTAAGGTTATGAGAAACCTGTTCGTTTTTTTTTATCATTCATATATTATTTTAATTTTGACCATATTTTCATGAAAATTAAGCAAATTTCCCTTAAAAAGACTGTATCTGATAATGATAGGTTTTTTAAAAATTAAATTCAGCACAAAAACACAGATTTTTACTTACATGTGTTTTTCACAAATGTAATTTACAATCATTTAATAATAGCATTTTTTGTTTACTTTACAGTAATGAGAATTTATGGGATTTTTTTTTAATGTATGCTTAATTTTTTTTTTTTTATTCACCATGCAAAATATCTTACTAGATAAAAAAAAAGCTTAATTTTTTTTTTTTTTTTGATTTCTGTGTGAACCATGAGCCAGAGGTTCCTGACAGCTGTTGTTGGTCAGTGTTAGTTGACTCGGCTCTTCTGTGTGTTTGCTCAGTCTCCGAGGGGTCCGTGGCAGAAGGTGGAGGTTCTGCTGGAGTTTGCCGAGTGGCTGTATGTCACACACTTTCCTGTGACTGACGTCCGTCTGCAGATCGAGTGGGCCGTAGACATGCTGCTGTTCACAGACACACAGAACACAGACGGTGACTGCATTACCTTTACATACACCGGCAGATGAGAGCTTGAAATAATTAAAACTTTCCTGACCAGGGACAGCTCTGTAGGTACTTCTGGGGCAGTTCTTTGACTGTCCGTTGTCCCTGTAAAATAACAAATTAAATAAATAATGTTCTTACTCCATACATGTATAATATGTGCATCCTTGAAAATGGGCAGTTTTCTAGTGCATTTCTTTAATCTCTCAGCTAATATCAATGGTGTGACCTATTTCAACAACAGTGGTTACATGCACATATTTTTAATTGTTTGATCAAAATTATTCTTAGTTGCAATTTAGTAGTCACTGGATATTGGTAGGGACATGTCATAGCATCTCTAATAAATTCTACACCCTTGCACTGAAGGCTGGAGTAATAATGCTGAAAATTCAGGTTTGATCACAGCAATAAATTACAGTTTAACACATATTCACATAGAAAACAGGCATTTAAAATAGTAATAATATTTCACAATTTTTATTGTATTTTTGATTTAATATATGCAGCCTTGGTGAGCAGAAGAGAGCTTCAAAACAAAACAAAATCTGAATTATCCCAAAGTTTTGACTCCTGTTGATTTGCCCTGTCCCGTCAGAGGGGTCTGGCCCGTGTCTGTGTGACGTGCGTTCGGTGGGCCGTCTGGAGCGTCTGATGCGATCGCACACACTGCTGGCTCTCACAGAGGAGCGCTCGTCTCTCAAACAGCAGCAGCATCTGCTGACGGCCTACAGCTGCTCGCTGCACATCTGGAAGGTACTCTCACTTACACAGCTCACAGATCACGCTTCTTTTGAGTCGTCACTGCATTACTTTTTCAAATAAGTAGCTCCAGTTACTTTGTTTCCATGTGTTGAGTGACAGCTCTGGTGTTGCCATGGTGACAGAAATCAGGAGTAAGTGCAGAGTGTTGTGTGTGAACATGATCTTACTGTAGTTCTAGACTAAATATCAACATGTGTTTACTCATCTCACCTGAACACAAACACATTCAGTGTTCCTCAAAATGAATAAAAACATTAAATGCAAACTCAGAATATGACGCAATATCTGCAATAATTAAATATGTTAAATAAGACAAATATCATTTATGTATTTAATCCCATTTTTTTAACCGATGTCTTCGCTACTGACCTTCGATGATCCACTTCAACCATACTAAGCAAAAATAACACATTTGTGTTCAGTGTTAGGGAAAGTTACTTTTAAAAGTGATGCATTACAATATTGGTTACTTTGTTTCCATGTGTTGAGTGACAGCTCTGGTGTTGCCATGGTGACAGAAATCAGGAGTAAGAGCAGAGCGTTGTGTGTGAATATGATCTTACTGTAGTTCTAGACTAAATATCAACATGTGTTTACTCATCTCACTGCACACAAACACATTCAGTGTTCCTCACAATCAATAAATACTGTCAAATGCAAACTCAGAATATTATACAAACCTGCTATAATTAAATATGTTAAATAAGACAAATATCCTTTATGTATTTAATCCCATTTTATTAACTGATGTCTTCGCTACTGACCTTCGATGATCCACTTCAACCATACTAAGCAAAAATAACACATTTGTGTTCAGTGTTAGGGAAAGTTACTTTTAAAAGTGATGCATTACAATATTGCATTACTCCCTAAAAAAGTTACTAATTACGATACTTAGTTACTTTTTATGGAAAGTAATGCGTTACTTTTTAAATCTGGGCGGGGCTTGTTTGTTTGTTTGTTTTTAATATAAATTAAATATAAATTTTACATTTGTAAAAGCCCAGATTTCACACCAAAACATGAAATGTGAATACGCCTCAGGCTGAAGGGAATGTAAATTCACGTCTGTACAGTAGAACACAGGAGAAGACGGTTCAACACTCTTTAGCAATAAAAAACAATGAAGCACAAATTTGAGTTCATCTAAAGTAATTTTTGCTTATTAGTATGGTTGACCTGGATCATCAAAGGTCAGCAGCAAAGACAATGGTTTATAAAATGGGATTAAATAGTACACAAGGGGTATTTGTGTTAACATATTTAATTATTGCAGCTATTGCGTCATATTCTGAGTTTGCATTTAACTGTTTTTATTCATTTTGAGGAATACTGAATCCGTAATTAGTAACTTTTTTAGGGAGTAACGCAATATTGTAATGCATCACGTTTAAAAGTAACTTTCCCCAACACTGAACACGTGTGTGTCGCTGTGGAATTCAGGTACTGAATCTGAGATGAGTAAACACATGTTTATATTTAGTCTAGAACTACAGTAAGATCATGTTCACACACAACGCTCTGCTCTTACTCCTGATTTCTGTCACCATGGCAACACCAGAGCTGTCACTCAACACATGGAAACAAAGTAACAAGTTACTTATTTGAACAAGTAACTCAGATATTTTCTTGTAAACTAAAAAAGTAATGCATTACTTTACTAGTGACTCGAAAAAAGTAATCTGACTCTGTAACTCACGTTGCCTGTAATGCATCACTTTTAAAAGTAACTTTCCCCAACACTGAACACGTGTGTGTCACTGTGGAATTCAGGTATCCATGGCAACCGCACAGGAAGTGATGAATGATTTGGCGGAAGGTCAAGATGTGCGATCCGCCAGCTCCAGAAAAGACAAGGAGAGACCAGACGAGAAGAAGACCAAACAGGTGAGACTAGTGAGCTAGTAATAACAGAGCTTCACTGATCACCAATCATCTGTAGAATGGCTGCAAAACCTTCATTACATATTAATTACATATCTGTTTTTGCACTTTGTATGTCGGTGTGACTGGGGCTAGTTGTCACATTTTTAATGGTTTTCTTGTCCCTTTTTTTTTTTTTTACTTTTTTACTTTTTGAAAGTCAGTGTCTATATAAACAAACTTTAGAATTTTGACTAGAAAAAGTCAGTTTATGTTAACATGTTGAAATTTTATAACATGTTAATTTAGTTTGTGGCCTATAGTGGGGCATGTTGTCACAATAGAAAGAGTACATTTTCACAAGTATTTATTCACTTTGCAGCGCAGTCAGTCAAATAATTATTAGTAAATAATACAGTCAGTAAATAATAATTATTTAAATAACGGTAAAATAATTATTAGACAGAAAACATGAAAAGGTTACACAGATTTCTGACTACTGTGGACAACAGAAAGTGTAATTAATTAATTATTTTTAAAGTTTCTTCTGCTCACCAATGCTGCATTTATTTGATCAAAAATATAGTAAAAACTGTAATATTATGAAACTGTTTTCTATTTGAATTTATTTTAAAATGTAATTAGTATAGAAATTAATATGCCGATTTGCTGCTCAAGAAACATTTCTGATTATTATCAATGTTGAAAACATTAATATTTTTGTGGAAACTGTGATACGTTTTATTTTTCAGGATTCACAGATGAATAGAAAGTTCAAAAGAACAGCATTTATTTGAAATAGAAATCTTTTGTAACATTATAAATGTTTTTACTGTCACTTTTGATCAATTTAATGCTTCAGGTATCCATGGCAACCGCACAGGAAGTGATGAATGATTTGGCGGAAGGTCAAGATGTGCGATCCGCCAGCTCCAGAAAAGACAAGGAGAGACCAGACGAGAAGAAGACCAAACAGGTGAGACTAGTGAGCTAGTAATAACAGAGCTTCACTGATCACCAATCATCTGTAGAATGGCTGCAAAACCTTCATTACATATTAATTACATATCTGTTTTTGCACTTTGTATGTCGGTGTGACTGGGGCTAGTTGTCACATTTTTAATGGTTTTCTTGTCCCTTTTTTTTTTTTTTACTTTTTTACTTTTTGAAAGTCAGTGTCTATATAAACAAACTTTAGAATTTTGACTAGAAAAAGTCAGTTTACGTTAACATGTTGAAATTTTATAACATGTTAATTTAGTTTGTGGCCTATAGTGGGGCATGTTGTCACAATAGAAAGAGTACATTTTCACAAGTATTTATTCACTTTGCAGCGCAGTCAGTCAAATAATTATTAGTAAATAATACAGTCAGTAAATAATAATTATTTAAATAACGGTAAAATAATTATTAGACAGAAAACATGAAAAGGTTACACAGATTTCTGACTACTGTGGACAACAGAAAGTGTAATTAATTAATTATTTTTAAAGTTTCTTCTGCTCACCAATGCTGCATTTATTTGATCAAAAATATAGTAAAAACTGTAATATTATGAAACTGTTTTCTATTTGAATTTATTTTAAAATGTAATTAGTATAGAAATTAATATGCCGATTTGCTGCTCAAGAAACATTTCTGATTATTATCAATGTTGAAAACATTAATATTTTTGTGGAAACTGTGATACGTTTTATTTTTCAGGATTCACAGATGAATAGAAAGTTCAAAAGAACAGCATTTATTTGAAATAGAAATCTTTTGTAACATTATAAATGTTTTTACTGTCACTTTTGATCAATTTAATGCGTCCTTGATGAATAAAAATATTAATTGCTTTTTTTTTTTTTTTTTTTAAGTCTTACTTACCCCAAAATTTTGAATGGTAATGTATCATATTTTCATCAAACATATTAAGCAACAGAATTTATCTAAATATCATTGCATTAGATACAAAATATCAAACCAAGTTTTATTGTTATTATTATTATTATTTTTACAATATTATTATAGTTTCATATTTTGAATCCTACATTATAAATGTCTTTACTGTCACTTTTGACCAATGTAATGTTTCCCTGATGAATAAAACTGTTCATTTCTTAAAGAAATCTTTGAACTTTAGTGTACATGTATATACAGTTATGTATATGTAATGTATATATCTTTTATTTCTGCAGCCGTCTCCTGTGGAGGACAGACCCAGAGCTAAAGCTGCAGACGAGTCTCTTCCCATCAGCCCCGAGCAGTGGGCTCAGTTCCAGTGTCCTGAGGAGCTTCGACAGGCCTTTCTTTCTGACGGCGGTCCTTACAGCATCAACAGCACATCCATCAGCGCACAGGTCAGCAGATCTCTGTGTGTTTACACATCACTCGTCTCACAGATAATCAAAGCTTCTGATCGATCGCACGCTGCTTTCTGAGCTGCATGAGGGAGAAGAGGAAATATTCATCTTTAGAGTGAAACAATATTATCTGTGACTTAAAGCATCTTCCTCGTCGAATTAAGGAGAATCATCTCACTGAACAAAAACATCACATGAGTAAAAGAGAAAACTGTCATGGGTTGTCCAGGTTAAATGCCAGCTTGATATAAACCTCCATTGGGTCATCTTTATTGTCCAGACTTGCTATTTGAGAAGATCAGGAAGTGTTGTTTTTTTTTTTTTGCATTGTGACAATATTTTCTTGACATTTAAATACATCTATTCTTTTGTAAGTTTTGGGGTTTGTTTATTTTTTTTTTCAAAAACTGTAAAGCAAAGCTGTTTTAATTTAAAAAATAATTTAAAAACTATATATATATA